AAGTAAAGATCTAGGCTGAAGAGTTGTTGGCTGGAAAAACCAAAGCTTATTGTTCTTTAACCGAGATAAGGATCAAGGCTAAAAAGGTTGGCAAGTATGGCCATTTAGATTGCAAAGCTAAAATCGAGATATTTATCTCGGCTAGCAAATGTTATACTACATTCTGAATACTTTTGAAAAGTAAAGGCAAGCATAAGAGTAAACTGAAACAACAGTTCCAACAAAAGAAGATTTCATTAAAGATTCAAATCAAGTACAAAAGGAGGGGCCTCAGCCCGGTTACAACTTCTTTCTAAAATAGCAAAACAAAAAAGAAAGTACAAAGTCAAGAAAACAGGTCATCAAGATCCGCATCCAGCTCAACTCGGAGCACGGTTTCAGCCGGTAGCTCGGTTGTCAGGTCTTCAACCGGTGGCTCCACCCGAACTGGCTGGATAGTAGAATCATCAACGACCGGGGCATTATTAGGCACGGCCTCTTTATCATCATCCTCAGATTCAAGGAATTTTTGTTGAATGGCGGCTGCATACTCCGCCATACAGCTCGGTATGAAGTACGATGAAGGGTTCAGGAAAACCTCAGTCTCTGGACCATGACCGAGCTGTTCCACCGCCGCCTTCCACCGCATTTAAAAAATAGATCCTTAGCAGCTTCGCATTGCAGAATGTAGGTTGCTTCACCTTCTTTGAAGCCGCGGTCTTCTGCATCACCAATCTTCTTCTCGAGTGTAGTTATCTCGGCTGTCTTCTTCTCCTCAATGGTGGCAAGATCACGCACGTAGTAGTCTTTCAGCTCGATCAAAGCTTTTTGCTTCTCCACTTCGGCTGTGTTAACTACACCGGTGAGGCGTGCGACTTCAGATTCAAGCTCGGCCATTTTCTGTTTAGCCTCGTTTAGCTCAGCCGTCTTCTGTTCAGCCTCTGCCAAGGCTTGCCTTGTTGTTTTGTGTAGCTCTAGCATACGTTTATGAGCAATCTGGTTCTTCTGCATGGCCTGCATAAATATGGTAAGCAAATTGGAGTAAAAACTGAGCTAACAGTTGCACAAAAAAAGGAAGATAAAAGAAAGAATACTCACTAGCACCATTGATTTAGTGGCCGAACGGATAGCTTTTAGCTCGGTTAGGTGGGCATGATGATCCATATCAGGGTGCAGACACACGCTCTTAGCCAGATTGAAGGCCAGCATGTGATCTTTGTCTGCCACCACTGAATCTGTGTCTCGGATGGCTCGGTTCTGGTACGATAATTTCGGTGCCCAATCAAAAGAGTTAGCTCGGTCTGAGCTCTTAGGTTGCAGGCTTGGAATTACGGTTGGAGGAAGCACGGTTTCATCCTCATCGACAAGGCGTGGCTCGGGTAGAGAAATCCGAGCACACTTACTTGCCCGAGATGTTGAAGGCTGATGGGTTGGCAGGGCTACCACGGCCTCTTGTGTTTGGTTGGTCGGTGGTACCTCGGGCTGGTTTGTTTCGGTCAAAAGGGCTCTTACGGCTCTCTTCTTGGCCATTTCTTGTTCAACAGTTAGTCGGATTAGGTTGATTTCAAGCAAGGATGGGTTCGGTTCAGGAGAGGTTTCCAACAAAAAATCAGTCACCCTGGTCTTCTGTTTACTACTGTGTCTATACGCCAGTTCAAATTCCAGTAGCTCGGCCCAACTTCTATTGGGATATCGCAGCGTGGCGCGAAGTGTGTTTAAGTTGGGGTAACTGTACTAGGACTTGAGAAAGTTCAAATCTGCAAAGACAACAGTCAGTGCGATTCAACTTATGAAAACCGAGGTAAAAGAAAGCATAAAATTAAGCCGAGGTAATTGTACCGGCAACTCCTTTATCCCAGTTTATTCGGTCTCCTGGGATCTGGGCCTCACGATCTTCAAAATTCCCAGAAACCCAGAAAAAATCAGCGTCGTTAACATCCTTATCCAGGATATCTTTTATTATCTTTTCACGTCGGCGCCTTATTCTTAAATAGTAAACCCACCCGTCTTCATTTGATCCTATGGAGTATTGGTGAAAGAGCTCGGCTAAACCGAGGTTAAGGCCAGCCCGGCGGTTTAGCTCGGCGATGCCATTTATTATGCGGTATGAATTTGTGGAAAGTTGGATTGGGCAGAGGTTGGTTTGTCTGAGGAACTCGCAAAGGAGGGGCTATACAGGGCATCTTAGTTCGGTTTCTATAATGGAAAGAAGTGTAAAGGGAACAAAGCCAGGGTTTCCCCAGGGTACGGTATCTAGTTCGGCTAGAGTGAGATGAATATCATCAGGGATATGGTAGTCCCTTCAGAACTCAACCATAGCACCTGGTGAGTTCACTAAAAACCTATATTTACCCATAAGGATTTAAATTATGTATAAATTAGCCTGCAGTATTAGCTCGGCGCCAAGCAGATAGAGGGTATCTCAGTTGGACGTGCAAAGAAGTACCTGGGCAACCTAGTCAGAGTCTGCAAAGTGAAAAAGAAAGGTGTTAAGCACAGATCGTGGGACTGTGCTACAAGTAATATGGGCAAGATAAATGAAGTCTTAGCTCGGTTACATGGAATGCTATCTAGTCTTAGCTCGGTTTAAGCAAGGGTCTTCAGACCGATCGAGCCATCGGGGTAGCATTCTTAGTTCGGTTTGAACTAAGGGAGCTGGTTTAGCCCCAAGATTTAGCTCAGTCAGTGGTTGAGACTTTCTAGCTTAGTATTATGCAAACCTAGTACGGTGCGATAGCTCGGTTAAAAGAAACAAAAGGTCCCCAACTTATGGAAACCACAAGTATGACATAAGTTTTAGTGTGGTTGTTGGTTATGGCTAGGCTTGCATCTAATACAAACAGTATCCTAGTTCAGTTGATGTGTGATTTTGGATCAGATACATCGTTCTTCAGTTTATTCATGAGTACCAGTGGTTATATTACAAAGGTCTTTCCAGAAAATGGAAGCAAAAATGGAACGTATGTTTTGAAAAACATAAACATGCTTTGTGTTGCAAAAAGAGGTGTGAAATCAATAGAAAAGAAGGAGATTCGAATCACTTACCAGTTCAAAGGTGACGACGCTGAAGATGAAGGTAGTATCAGCAAGAACACGAGCTCCACAGTTGCAAGAGAATAAGGAAGAAGAAGTTCAAAGAGAGAGAAAGTAATGAATAGTGGAGTGATAAATTCAAAAACAAGGGTTTGTTTTTTATAGAGGGAAGGACAAAAATGTGGGATTGTTGAAAAAATGCGGAGTACGAAGACGGCGTGACAGCTGTATTTGGCTAATCAGAGTCTACCATGTGTCCTTGAAATAAGAATCGATTCAGTTAGAGACTGAAGAGACGTTGTGACCGGACAGATTGATAGCACGATGTAAATTTGGCTCGGTTGGAAGGCTAAGGGTTTTAGCTCGGTTGGAAGGCTAAAGCTTTTTTTAGCTTGGCCGGTAACAGGTAATCCCAATCATGCTACGCAGATGGAATTAAGGGGCAATTGAGAAGGTAATTTATATATAAATTGGGCCGAGCTGGGTAAAGGGCCATTCTGTGGGCCACGGTAAGAAGGGCTGAGTAAAAGGGCCTTGTAATTAGTCCGGTCCAGAAGAGCCTTGCAGATAGCCCGGTCCGAAGGAGCTTGGTGGTTAGCTCGGTCACCACAGTTGGCACGGTAACAGTTAGATCGGTTATATTATGTTGGGCTGAAGCATGTTGGCTTCTGCTTAGGACCTTGCTGTTAGATAGCTCGGTCCAAGCTCATTGTAGATAGCACGATTTCAGACAATTGAGTTGGAATATGTCAACCGAGGTACACGCGCAGTGAAAGGAAGAACCGAGCTAGCTGGAGCTCGGTCTAGTCTGCGGCTTTAGCGTGGCCATGTTATCTCGGTCGTATTGACATCTAGCCATAGTAAAACCATCTCACTTGGTTTAAGCAGTGAGGAGGGTGTTAAAGGATAAGCATTATCTTTTAGGAATGTGATTACTAGGAGGACTCTACATGGAGGAGTAAAAGTCCTACTAGGATTGTGCCACATGAAACCTATAAAAGGCTCATAACATTACCTATGGAGAGGTAACACAACTTTGATTCTCGAATACACAGAGCTTTTATCTATTTGTCTATTTTGCTGACTTAGGCATCGGAGAGGTATCCGGCACACACCCGCTGGCTAGCTCACATTTGTGTTTTCAGGGAATAAAGCGACGTCGTACAGAGGAGCGCAGACTTGAACAACAGGATTATACGAGAAGGTTTATTTCTTTTCCGTACATGTTACATATGAAAAAATGTTTAAAAATTATTCAAAAGTATATTAACAGACTACAACTATTTTAAGTGTAATATATATATTCTGTTAAATTTAAATTTATATAATCCACTTCATTTTCAGAATTAAATTGGAAGTACAAATTCACACTCCATAAAATTTTCCTCAATCTTTGAAGTTTCAATCTCTTGTCTTTCTCTTTTAAGTAGATACAATAGTTTAGTACCATTTTTACCAAATTGTATTCGTTCTTGTTTGGTTGAATTTTTAAATTTTGTTTTTAGTTTTATTTTTTAATATAAGTTAAAAATTAATTTCAGAAAAAATAAAAAATAATAAAAACACTCATCGTTCCTACATGATTTTCCCCTTTTTTTGTGACAAATCTTTAATAAAAAACATGAAAATAATTTTTATTTATTTTTGTCAAATTAGTTTCTAATTTTGAGAAATAAATAAAAAAAAATATCTGAAAACTCAAGTGACATGCATGTCTCATTTACTCTTCCTCATAATTTATAAGTTTATGACCCTATCAGTCATCGTTTGGCATTGACTTTTTTATTTAACTTTTTCAAGTTGAGTCATTTTTAGCTTGGTACTAAAAAGTTCATTTGGTTTAGTTTTTGTCACGACCTAAACCTGCCCCTATAAGTTTAGTATCGTAACCGGCTAGTAATCCTAGGAGTATTGAAGGCCTCTGATACAGATTAACATAATATTAGGGGCTAGCGGAAGCAAATAACAACATACAACGTTCGTTGAGCTGTGCAGACTTATATAAGACAGAAAAATTTTAAACTATTTATATACATATATACACATCAACTTTAAGTCATCCTATATATACAGATTAGACAAAAAGGGACTTAGCCTATTTACAAAAATACACCAGACTTGATTAACCAAACAAGAAAACAGAACTTAAACTTTATAACACTTAGCGACAATCACTTGACATATCCGGAACCTCCACGGGAGGCACATGGGTTGGCTAACAAAACAGATTCTAGGTAGATGCCTCTAAGCTTGGTCACGCACCTGATCACCTACATACATAAATAATACAGTGAGCTAGAGCCCAGTGAATAATAACAGAGTAAAGGGTTTTAATGAATAATGTCCATTACAGAGTCAGAAATCAGATTCTTATGCAAATTCAGATTCCAAATCAGAAACAGATTCATATACATATTCATAATCATTTCCATATTCAGGTTTTTCACATAAGCATACGTGGTACATCCAATAGCGTTAACATATCTGATGACCCATAAAGGGACCTGATGATCCATAAAGGACAGCCTGAAGGCATTCTGATGACTTATGTGCACAAAGACGTTCTGATGACCCATAAAGGGACCTGATGACCCATAAAGGGACGCATATCATGTGATGCTAAGGACGCCACGGTTAACTTTCAGAATCTTGGACAATCATTCATTCGTTTCAAACATATCACAGCATTTCCAAGAATCAATCATTTCGTATTATAATAGTCTGAAAATACATAACATTGAACATAACTTTACAAAGTTACTACTCACAGATGGCTGCAGAAGCAAATCCGACAGACTGGACATATCAGATAAATCAGGCAGACAATGGCGCGTGACCTACACAAGCACATAACATATACACATTGAAATACAATATTACTCCCTTGGTCAAACTTGACTTTTCTAGTCTTTTTCTGTCTAAATAGTCCGAAGTTCTACTACACTTATTCTTTCTCATTCAAATAGACCGGGTTCTTATTTCACATATTCTTTCATTACTAAGCCTTTCTTTTCCAAATAGATTGATATTTTAATTGGCTTCTTAAATAATTACCACTAGATCGATGATTCATTCTTCAACTAACTAATTTATGTTGATTGGTAGCTTATTAATCTTTATTGAGTCATAAATCATGTCTAGAATGCCTTGGAAAGAGATGAGAATAAAAATGTGAACTAAATGCAATTTCCCAAAATATGCTGAAAATGGTTCTCCGCTCGAGCGCCACTTTGATCGCTCGAGCGGACTGCAAAATTTGAAAACTACTGGGAGCTTGATTTTCACGCTCGAGCGAGACTTTCCTCGCTCGAGCGGACAACACAAATTTTGAAATTCCAAAATTGAAATTGAAGTTCAAATTCAGTATTCAAAGCCTCAAAACATGTACTTTAGTATACAAACATGGAAAACCATTGTATAATTAAATAAACACTTTCAATTAGAAATCATTCATTCAAAATCATGCTCAAATTGTCCAAATTTAGTTTCAACTCATCTTCTCCATGTCAAACCTAATTTCAAGCCCACAACTTTAAAATACGAATTAAACTTTCAAAACTCTTGAAAAATTCATAATGTACGTCCAATTGGAACTCAATTTCATGTTAGGACAAATAAATTCCATCCAAAGTAATTAATTTCTAAATTAATTTTCATACATTTGATCATAGCTTCAATTTCTCATTTTCTCTTTAATTACATAAAATTGGCCCCCAGTTCTTTCTATTTTCCTTGAAATCATGAAACTAGCATTAGGATTAATTCTAATTTTCCATAACTTGATGTTCATAAAACATTCCCTTTTTCTCTTCAAAATATGAACTTAAATGGCTCAATTTCTTCAAAATCCATGATGCATGTAAATATAAATTCAAATACTCATAGAATTCCCTCGTGCATGTAACAATGGAACTTAATCTCATGCAAGGTTACAAAATTAGAGTCAAAATAATTGGTTACTAATTTAATTTCCATAAATTGAACATAACTCCATTTATTCATCATCTTGCTAACTTCATCTATTTATATGAAATTGAACCCAAGTTTAACAAATTTAAGAAATCAATAATTCATACTCTTTGTCCTAACTTGATTTTACCTGCAAACCCAAATTTAATCTCATAAGTCTTTTTTTTACACATGAATTAAATCTAAATCTTTAAAATTCTAACATGCATGTAGGGATGAACCTCAAATTTATAAAGAATAATAAAAATCAAACTCAAACTAATTAATTTCTAAATTAATTTCCATAATCATGAATCTAATTTAATTCCATCATCTTCTTGCCAATTTCTTTCCAATTACATGAAATTGAACCAAAATCCCTTTTGATTTCAAGTATTAGGTGTAGAAGAATTAAACAAGAAATTTACCTCAACTTATTGAATTTTTGAGCTCTCTCTCAATCATTTATTTTTCCTTAAGCTTTCTTTTCCTCATTTCTCTTTTGCTTTCTTAGTTGTTCATCTTGCATTTCGCTCTCCAGCAACTCTTTTCCAGGTGAGTTCTCTCTCTCTCTCTCTCCCGGTTTTCTTTCTTCCTCGGTTGTCATCTCTTTTTCTTTGAGTTCCCAAGCATTATTCTTATCCATACAATAATGATTTATTCTCCTTTTTTCTCCCATCCCCTTTGATCTCCTCTCTCTCTCTTTCATTGGTTACATTTTCTTTTTCTTTTTCTTTTTTTTCCTGCTCCTCCAATCACCACCCGCCACGTGACAAAGGGGTGAGGGGTGACCCATTTTACAAACATTATTCTTATCCATAATACTCACTGTTTTTGGCATCATTACACGTGCACACACACACTCTCATAGCACTTCCAGCACAACACTTAACATGCACACACCCACAGAATTTTCTTTGCACACCCACACCCACCCATAAATTTAGATTGTTTCATAAGACAATTTATGCTTAGGATTTATTTAATTAAGCAACACTTAGTCTTAATAAATATCAATTAGCACATCAGTAAATTAATTATAACAAATCATAGATTTCTCATAATTTAATTAACATAATTGATTTCCGTTAGAGCCTAATTAATTATATTTAATTTTATTAATCCGAATCAGATTTTTAGTCAGGCTCCCAAAAGGCTCCAAATATTAAATTAAATTTATTATCATTATCAATTTTGATCTCCCAAATCATCTAGGCGTTCAATTTCTGATCAGACTCAAATTTTTATCAATAAATTACATCTTCAAATTGGGCACATCATAATTAAATTTAATTTATAATAACCACAATCCTCAATCCTCATGACTTAATCAACTCCAATTAGGACCTAATTAATCGAATTTCAATTTCACTAAATTGAATCGAATATTTAATTAAACTCTCAAATGGGCCCATAATTAAAATTAGATTGATTCAACTTCTTAACTCCACTTCCTTAAGCCATTCGGACCTTTAATTTCTAATTCCAAAATAACTCTTTAATAGAATCATATACGAGTCGGATCCCACAAGTCTCATAAATCCCAAATTAAATTATAATGCTCGGCAATTAATTTCAAATCCTCTTGATTAATCAAGTACTAATCATTGTACGTGATAGGGTCGTTACAGTTTTTTTGACTTTTGTGAGAGAAAAAATGAAATGATTATGGTTTGGATATAACATTTTGTCTTATTGACTTATTTAATCTATTTTATTTTTTGTACTTTGTTAGCCCAACTAAGTTAGCCAAACGAAGGCTAAGTAAAAGCTAACCACCATATATAGTGATGTTTTAAAAAGTTGGTAAAAAAATTGACTTTTTAACTTTTTGTGTTAAAAAAATTGACTTTTTGTAACTTTTTTTTGTGTAAAAAAACTAAAAACCAAAAAAATTGATTTTTTATCAAAGTTCCCAAAAGGCCCCATATACTTCGACAATTACTCAAAAAATAATGTTAATAGTATAGATTTATAAATTTAATGTGATATTGGACTACATTAAAATTAATGTGATCTGTATATTTTATTTTGCGAACACTTTTTCATGTGTGTAGCATTATTGATTAAATTGTCAGTAATATTTTATAAAACAAATTTTATGCTAAATGATATGATTAAATTGTGGACTTATTATTTCAAAATAGATAAGCGATTAAAACGTTTTTAATAGCAAATCTACTGTCACATTATTTGGATTTGAAAAAATTAGTAAAACATATTTCTCTAATTTTATGTAGTAGGAGAAGTCCAAGACAATTTTTTTATTAGCTGAGGTCGCTCGATAAAATTTCTTTGTATTGGGGTCGAAATTTCTCTGAATAAAATTTTTTCCATGAAAATGTTGAGAGATCTTAATTATTATGAAAATATTGTATATCTTTTATTTTATAAAATTTTAATATCATGAATCTTAAAAAAAAATCTCCTTTATATTTTGGTGAGAAATATTGTTTAGTTTTTTTGAAAGAGTAGTTTCTCAATTCAAAATGAAATTGTGGGCTTGCTGTGGTGGTCCAAAAGCTGTCTATACTACTGTGCAAAACCATTTTTGGGGACCATTCTCTTCTTGCTTGTCCTACCCCAATTGGATCCAAGGATTATTCAATGTACAAGGTGAAAAATATGCAAAACATGCAACTAGAAAATTCATACAATTTTTTAATTCATAATGACAAAAAATTCATATATATGACTTAGTTTTGAATTTTTCACTTTATAACAAAAAAAATTCATTAAAATGACTTATATTTTCAATAATATTATTGTTATATGTTTTTTGATTATAAATTTTGCATAAAAAATGTGTCCGCAGGTCATTTCACTTTTTTGAATTATACATGAAATAGTCATTTCAATTCCTGGTTGCAAAAGTCAACTACATTAGATAGCTCATGCTTTATAGGGTGATGCTATGGTACATTTCATCAGTTATGAAGATATGTAATTTTATATTATAATTAGGAATTTTTTGAAAAGTGAGTTATAATTCCCTTTCAGATTATAACTAATTTTCTTTTCTCACAAAAAGCTGATTATAATCAGCTTATAATCAGTTTTTAACCAAAAAATAGATTATAATCATCTTCCCAAAATAACTCTTAATATCATATAGATCATAACCATTATCATATTAACTCATAATTTAGTTATATTTAGTTATTCATACCTACTATATTATCTCATAACTACTACATAACTAAATTATTTTAATAATTTAATTTTGAATTGGCAATCGGTGTAACCGGCTACCAAAAAGAGGGCAAAGAAAATCAGAGGAGCTCAGGGATCCCAACATCACATATCTCATAACTAACATCACATATCTCATAACTGCTAGTCACATATCTCATAATTAATTTTTTTTTTCATAACTAACATCACATATCTCATAACCACCAGTCACATATCTCATAACTAACACTATTTTTTCATAACTAACATCACATATCTCATAACCACCAGTCACATATCTCATAACTAACACCATTTTGCTCATAACTACACCACTTTGTTCATAACCAATTACACATATCTCATAACCATTGATCAAATATCTCATAACTATTACTCACATGAATCATAACCACATCTCATAACCAATCCCTTTGAGTCATAACCAATATTACATATCTCATAATCACTAGTCATATATCTCATAACTAACAACCCATTTTCATAACCAACCCTTTGACTTATGACCACATCATTCTGCTCATAGCCAAAATCACATATCTAATATAATCATATATCTCATAATCTTTACCTACTTATGTCATAACTACATTTCATAACCAACACAATTTGCCTCGTAACTAACATCACATCTATCATAACTTTAATCACAAATCTCATAACCATTACATACATATAGGGGTGTAAATTTGGCTCATGAGCTTGCATCACACCCCAAGTCCAGAAATTACTCTCTCTCTCTCTCTCTCTCGTTTGGGTTAAAGAAATGGTCTAGGGATTTGTCGAAAACAATTAATGAGGGAATTTTGATTTTGATTAAATTTGGATGTTTGTTCCAAATTTTTGGAGAAAATGGAGCCGAAATTATGTAATAATCATTATAAAAAAAAAACAAAATTAAAACATTTATGAAAAGAGTCTTATAATAAAATAAATTACTAATTTATAATTTTGTCAATTTATACTTAATTTTTTATATATATTTTTAATATAAATCCTTCATCTATTTTTATTAAGTAAAATTAATAAAAAAGACTATTTTACTCATCAACTACAAAATTTATAGTCACACCATTAATTCGCGTAATAAAAATATTTATAATTTTAGAAACCACAAATATCATAATCAAGTCATAAAGTTTTATAATATAGAACACAAAATACATAACACTATCACTAATTGACATAACAAAATTGTTTAAAATTATAGAAAATCACAAATATCGTAACTAATTTTCAAAATTTCGGAACATTAACCAAAAATTATGTAACTATCCACTAATTGGTGTAACAAAAACATCTAAAAATTTTAAAAACCACAAATGTCATAACCAACTCACAAGATTTAATCAACTACAAAATGCGTAACTGTATCACGAATTGTCATAATAAAAATAATCAAAATTTTATAAATCACAAATGTCATAATCAACCCAAAAAATTTCATAATATCAATCACAAAATGTGTAACAACACAACTAATTGATGTAGCAAAAATATCTAAATTTTTTTATAAACCACAAATATTGTAATCAAGCAACAAAGTTTCATAACAATTATCATAAAATGACTAAACAAATCACTAAAAATCTTAGAATCACCAATCGGGATCTCTCATAATACAGAGAAAACAAAATGTAATGACAATTATTAAATAATTTAATCAACGACTTAAAGTCATGGAACAGAAAATGAGAGTTAGAGAAGATTAGCTAGTAGAGCTAGAGGAAAGGGATATGAGAAAAAGAGACTGAACGGGCTTATCGCCTGTGAAAATGACGTTAAAGGTGCTGTCGTTTCCGATAAGGAACATCGGAGATATCTACAATGACAGTAACAAATGAGAGAGATGCTTGAGGGATGAAGAGGACTGAAATAGCAGACAGTACAACAAAATGCGTGATATTCATTTTTCAACAGTTCTATAGCACATGTACAAATTGATGATAACAAAACCTTTCAAATCATAACTACGGCCAAAGGTTTGTGTATGTATGACATATTAATGTGAAAGAGCTAGAGTTTCGAGATAGATGCATTTACTAGATAGAGAAATATCACCATAATGACTAGTGTTAAAATAGACAAAGAGAGTAATGGCAAGTTCAAGGATCTATTGCAGAGACACATGAGTAGAGAAAGGAAGAATCCAGTGAGGAAGAACTATCAACAATGGTCGTTCGATAATTTGAGCGAAATAGAGAAGTCTGAGTAAGAAATAGAGAGAGCTCAGGCACAACTAGGACAAAATCAAGGGAAAGAAAATGGAGTAAAGAAAAAAATGAAGAAAAGTTGGGGGAAAACATTAGGAGAGAATTTATTTAGTAGAACAAAATAAAATTATGTCATAGATAATTTTTTTTAACATATTTTTTTTATTAAAATTTAGTTAAATTATATATATAGATATTTTAAAAAGAATATCGTTTTGTATATTACTATTTCTATTATATTTAATGAAGATATTATGACTAAAATAAGTCTAAAATAGAGATAGGTGATCAATTGCAATTGTCACTTAGGGATGACACTTCAAAATTAATTGAGAGAGTTGAGAGTTCAAAGATAATGAGAGTTTGAGAGACAGATTTGTTTGTGAGAAATAATAAGAAATAAAATGAGAGAGGGGTGGTATTTATAGGACTTGGGAGGGAGGGGTTAATTTATATATATATATATATATAAATAAAATAAAATAAAAAAATTGGTTGTTGGTGGAATTAACGGTTATATGATTGTTTCAAAAAATAAATTTAAATTTTTTACCGTTGCACTAACAGCGGGCGCGGGGAGCTGTTGGGGTTGGGTCGGGCCAGATGGGGAAAAAAAATTCGGGTTGAGCTCACGAGATAGGTCACATTCCATAACACACCAGAGTCGGGCTAGGCTCTAGAACACATAGTCCAGGGTCTTAGGTTGGGCTTAGGCTCAGGCCTGGTTGGGCGCGACTGGACTTGGGGTGTGCCGCGAGCTCTTGGGCCAAATTTACACCCCTATATGTGGGTAGTGGTTATGAGATATGCAATTAGTGGTTATGCTATATGTGATGTTTGTTACGAGACAAATGGTATTGGTTATGAGATGTGGTTATGACATAAGTGGGTAAAAGTTGTGAAATATATGATTAGTGATTATTAGATATGTGATTTTGGTTATGAGCAGAGTGGTGTGGTTATAAGTCAAAGGGTGTTTGGTTATATGATTAGTGGTTATGAGATATGTAATATTGGTTATGATCAAAGTGGTGTGGTTATGAAATATGTAATTAGTAGTTATGATATATGTGATATTGGTTATGAGATATGTGAGTAATGCTTATGAGATATTTGATTAGTGATTATAAGATATGTGATTTTGGTTATGAGCAAAGTGGTGTCAAATGGTTTTTGGTTATGCTATATGTGTTAGTGGTTATAAGATATGAGATATTGGTTATGATCAAAGTGATATGGTTATGAGCAAAAGGGTTGTTAGTTATAAGATATGTGATTAGTGGTTATGATATATGTGATGTTGGTTATGACTCAAAGGGGTTGGTTGTGAGATGTGGTTATGATTCATGTGAGTAATAGTTATGAAATATGTGATCAATAATTATGAGATATGTGATATTGGTTATGATCAAAGTGGTGTGGTTATGAGCAAAAGGGTGTTAGTTATGAGATATGTGACTTATGAGATATGTGATGCTGGTTATAAAACAAAAGGTTTTGGTTATGAGATATGTGAGATACGTGATGCTGGTTATGACTCAAAGGGGTTGGTTATGAGATGTGGTTATGAGATATGTGATTATGGTTATGAAATATGTGATATTAGTTATTAACAAAATGGTGTTTGTTATGAGATGTGATTATGAAATATGTGATATTAGTTATGAATAAAATGGTGTTGGTTATGAGATGTGGTTATGACTAAGTTATGATCAATTTGATTATTGTTACGAAGAAATATGATTTTGGCTCATAACTATAAAAGTGACCTGTTTAGCAGGTCACTTTTAATGATGTGGCTCAATCTTAGTCATTGATTTTACTATGTACCATATATTTTTTTAACAAAATGTACTATAGACTTTCCCTGTTTTATATGGGGTTTTATGTACATGCATGGTCAAATGAATTATGCGTGAAGTATTGATAAATTTTAAAATATTATTTAATATATTGTTTATTTTTTTTAATTTTTAATTTTTAATTTTTATGAATCTAAAGATTTTATTAAAATAAACATTATATAAAAAGGGTAGTCATTTATATATTTTGGTTTAATTTTTTAGAGATAAAAGTGAGTTTTCCAAATATAAAATTACATATTTGGGCAATTTGTACTATAGAAGTTTTGAATTTTTTCTCATTCTAGAACAAATCTCACATTAGGAACAAAAATGTAACACTCCAACAAGGTAATACTCTAATGTAACATACTAAAAAAAATTTAGTGTGCTTTTTCCAAACGTAACAACATAACACAAAAAAAAAAAAAAAAAAAAAATCTTAGTTTACTTTTCTCAAATATAATACTTCAATCAATGTAATCTTAAATATAACACTCTAATGTAATGTACTCTAATGTGACACACAAAAATACTTTAAAACTCATTAGTGTATTTTTTCCAAACGTAACACTTACAGTTTGAAATTATATATTTGTCCAAAACTTACTAAGGAATTTTTGTACTCTTTTTTGAATTATTTAAATAATCTCACATCATTTTTTTGGAGTGTTAAGTTTAGAAAAAGTACAATATAGAATTTCTTTGTATGATCTATAGATGTCGAACCAACATTTCCAACCCTATTACAACACCAACATATACGAAAAATATAAAATAACAAACGATATTTGATATGGCAATCATAAAATCAACTATGTGTGTGTGATGCTAATGACGCACAACACACCCACACACCACATCGCACTGACAACTAAATCCCAAAAAATCATCACAACAACAACCAAAATCAACAACGATACACCACCAACACTGTGCACAAAACAAACGCACAAATGTAAAATATACCAAATAATCGAAATACTCACCTGTTACCATATGATAGGTGCAAGCAACATCGGAGCAAACCCTGCAAAACACCACCAAAAGAGGTCACACAATCGGATTATGGTCACCACTGAAAAAATAGAATACAACACACTCAATAACGCCCACACTCTCTCTTCAAACCAATGAAATCAATATTAAACAATCAAAACTCCCTCTTACACCTTAACATTGCCATATTCCATCCAAAACCGAATCACTTATTTAGGGAGAAAAAATCACACAAAGGGTATTCATATAACATCAAGTGGAACCAAAACACCCTAAATAAAACTCACCAAAAATATAAGACTAATTGGTTCACGAGAAAATCCTGAGAACTAAATGATTTAACTTTTCTCCATATAGGATTTATGGATAATTTTTCCATGAATTATTTGGGTTTAATTTATGGTTTTTTTTAAGGGTAAATTACAAATACACCCCTTGAGGTTTGCTTAAAATAAAGATTGCTTCCTGTGGTTTGAAAAATTACAAATTCCCCATTGTTAGAATTTTTTATTAACAAAATTAACTAAAAAAATAAAATTCATAATTACTTTCCTATATAATAATAAAATTACCTAAATTATTAATTGAAACATATTTCTAATATCATTAAAAATTGTTAATTGACTCGATAATTTATTAATAAAATGGGCGATTTGTTATGAAATTAGAAATCTCAGGAGGTGGAATGTAATTTTTAAAATCACATGGGACGATTTGTATTTTAATTAAACCTCAAAGATGTAATTGTAATTTATCATTTTTTTTTAAAAAAATTTAAATTAAATAAATAGCGCACAGACAAACTTTATTATCAATTAGGATAAAACATAATTATGTTTGGATAAAAGCTTGGTTGCTAACCAAGTTTTTTTTCTTTAATGTAAAAATTATTTGAATTACTATTTCATATTTTTCTGAGTGTTTACATTCAAGTAAAATTGCTAATATCATTTTTTTAAAATTTTAATTGAAAAAAAGCATAAAAAAAAAAAAGAAGGTTTAAGGACCTGCATATATATAGTTCTTTTTTCTTTTTTGAACTCATATAGTTCTTTTCTTTGCATTGGCACGTTACACAACAAGGTTGATTGTCTTCCTATGGAAGTTTTCATGCTTGCCTATGCTGGGCTTGATTTTTGTGGATTTGATTGGATAGCCCAAACATGGAGCCCAGCTCTTGGGTGTTGCATCCAAATTCAATGGATTGGTACAAGTCCAATTTTTTACTGGCCCAAAAAAGTCCCTTCTTCCATTTTGGGTCTTTTTTGGCAACTTTTTTTTTTTTTTTTTTTTTTGGGGGTGGGGGGGTTAAAATAGCTAAAAAGAATAATAATAATAAAAAATTAATAAAAAAGTTAAAACTCTAAAAATTACTATAAAAAAATAAACATCTTAATAATTTATGATTTTCAATATAACAAAAAAATTTAGTCCCAAGCACATTAACTTTTTCCACTTTATAAAAAAATCATACCCCAAATGAGAACTCAGTAAAGACACGAGCACTCCTACAAAGGATCTAGCCTAGGTAACAAAATGTGTTCTATTAGGCCATCTCCAATCTTTCATCAAATTTAATTTGATGAGAAATTAGTTAAAATGGTACTGTAACCGTTTTATCAAATCGACATCAAAGGAAGGAAGAATTAAAATTTTCATCAAATAAAAGGAACTTTTGACCTTTCATTAAATTTTGTAGGTAGACATGAACGTCTTCTTGGACAGTCTCCCAAATAACTGGACTTTCTTTATCTAAATGTCAAATTTTACTCATGGTTGGACGTTCGCCTCGTACATCCTCCTAGACAAACAGGTCTTGTAACAAGATCAAATTTAATGAAAAATTTAGTGAAGGATTGAAGATGCTCTTACTGTTGTTTTTTTTTTAATTTTTAAAATTTAAACTTCATGTACATTGGGGGAGATCCGTGTTTGTAGTTTTCACAGACATGAAATATATTACAAATTTGAAGCCACTAAATTAAAAGTTAATGATTGAAATTTAAATAATATGAATTTATACCTATTGGTGTCTATTTCTTCTAGGATTTAAAAAAAAAAAAAAATTTAGCCCTTTTTTACTGGAAAATACCTAAAACTTTTCATTTAATTATGAAAAACTGGGCTACAACAAATTAGCCCACCAAAGTAAAAACCTACCTGATATTGGGCCTAGCTTTATTGGGCTGAAATACTTTCCAGTTTGTGGCCCATTTTAGGTCTTCTCTCTCTCTAAACCTCTATTATCATTAAGTTCTCTCTTTCTCTCTCTTTCTCTCTCTCTACCAAAACAAAGCCCTGAAACCATGGAAGCTGTTGCTAAACTCCACCACCGTCACCAACCACTCCACCTCTCACTCCATCACGACAGTCCATCATTCTCAAAACCCATTTATTCACTCTCCTTCCCAACCCCTCCACCCCCATCATCACCGTCCCTCAAATCATCATCAGCACCACAAACCCCAAAACCCCAATTCACCAAAACCCTAAACCCCTTCCCATTCTCTTTCCTCAAAACCACTCTCATCTCCGCCGTCGCCGCCGCCGCCGTCTTCTCCAATCGCTTCAACCTCAAACCCGTCATCGCCGCTACGCCGCCGCCAGCCGCCGCAGCGGAGGAAGCTGAGAAATCCCTCGAAGACGTTCAAGCCCTTCGGGACTTAATGGAAGCGAAGGTCAACAACGGGAAGGTCGACGAAGCGATTTCAATTGCTGAACAGTTGATGAGACTCGAACCAAACGATATGGAGTGGCCATTGTTGAAAGCTCACATGCATTGCTACAATGGAGAGCTTGAAATGGCGAAATTAGGGTTTAATGAGATACTTGACAAGGACTCTTTGCTGGTGGAGGCTTATCATGGGTTGGTAATGGCTGTACCGGAGGGCGATTTGGGTTTAGAATTGAAGGAGATTGAGAAGAGGGTTGGGGAGGCAATGGAGATTTGCAAGAGAGAGAAAAAGGAAGAGGTTTTGAGGGATTTTAAGCTTTTGATCGCTCAAATTAGGGTTATTGAAGAGAATTATAGTGATGCATTGAAGGTTTATCAGGAGCTTGTGAATGAAGAGCCTAGGGATTTTAGACCCTATTTGTGTCAAGGGATTATATATACTCTGTTGAGGAAGAAAGATGAAGCAGCGAAGCAGTTTCAGAAGTATAGAATGCTTGTTCCTGAGGGGCATCCATATGCACAATATTTCAATGATAATATGGTTGCAAATAAGGATTTTGGGCAGATGTTGGGAAATGAGAGAGTGGGTTCGAAGAGTTGAGCGAAACCGGTCATCTGTTTTTTTGTTGTTGTGAGACCATGAATCGCGGGTTGGGGCGTAGTGATGGAGGCTTTACCGGCACAGGAAGGTTCCTTTTTTGTAACTCTGATCTGGTCTATTTTTTTTATCATGTTTTGGATAACATTTTGTTTGTAGAATTGTAATTAGGCTGGTTATATATTGCCAAGAACATAGCAGTTCAATGAAAGTTTTGTGGTTGGTTAAATGGATTTATCGGTATAAAATTTTTCATCTATTAACTATGCACTTTTTTATTAGAAAAGGCAATGTATACTGGTTTTCTTTGAAGTGTTTGCATTCTATATGTTGAGATTGAATCAATTTGTGGTTTAAATTGAGTAAATTGGGGATATTTGAATGCTCCTTCAGATTTGATTTGCCTTTTGTTTCTGTATATATGTTCCAACACAGTATCATGCTATTGTCATGCTGTTATACAAAACCCAATAATTTTCACATATGGTAGTTAAATTGTGAAACATTTGCATCTTGTGGCTTGAAAGTTGGTTATATGGCAGTTATATGATAAACAGGTTGATGGATCTTTTTTAATTTGATAACCACATTCCACAAAGACTGGTTGAGAAATGTCAAGAGCTCCCAAATATACAGACCTGTAGAGTGTTCTACTGAAGCCCAGCTGCATTTTTTTGGTTACCTCTGCTCTTTTCTAAGCCATCTTATCTTTGCTAGTCAGATTGGTAAGCCCACCTTATCTATTAGAGTATAATATAATTCTCTCCCCAAGATGCAAGTATGTTGGTGACTTGTCATTCTGGAAGAGATTTTATAATTGCAAGTATGTATCTGATTATTGTAATGGGGATTCTTAATGGGCTTGTTTAGTACCAAACCATATATTTGTTTATGCCAATCTTGCTTAGAGCCAAGCAGGTTCCTTATAAAGTGTTTTATTTGAAAAGTGTGGGCAATGGTTAGCTAGTTAGGTTGGTGAAAGATTCTTTTTTGGAGGTATGACGATTATTGAGATGGCGGCGGGAGCGGTCGTGGAGTAGGAAGGGGAGAGAGAGAAACCAAAAGAGAGAATAGTTTGGATATGGAGAGCTAGAGCTTTCAAGTCATAAGATGGAGAAGAACGGCGTGCTGTATGCATGGTGGAGATCTTTTATTTATGGGAGGGTCGAGTTGTGGAGGGCAACTCACAGGGTCACGCGCCTTATTATGGAAAAAGTGATTGGTGTCTTCCTCTGCTTGACTTGACAACTTGGAGGTTGCAGTCACTATCGGTAGTGATGCTGAAATCCTCAAAGGCAATTGTTACTCTAGCCATTAAGCCATAGTACTCGAGTAATCTAACGCTAGGGCCATGAGGTCACTTGGGCACCTTATCCTTATGACTGCTGCACCGACCCCAATGGTGTCCTTGGGCCTTCCTCCAAACTTGATCTAGTTTAAAAGGTTCAATGTGACTTTGGTAATAATCTTGTTTGGTTCGCTAATGGAATCAAAAGTACAGATCATAAGAAACTTGCATTTGGGTGGAAGACCGCTTGGCTTAGCCGAGGAAGAGCTAAGCGCATGTGAGCAAGTGGATATGGTCGCACTTGATAGAGAGCTATTTTGCACAAGCGAGAGAGAATAGAGCATGCCCATGACAACTCTTTTTTTTTTTTTTTTTTTTTTTTTTGAGATTGCTTTGGCCCTAGCCATCATATGTGACAATAGTTTGTTGATTCACTTGTCAGCTCATGAGTTTGACACAGCAAAATCATATGGTAAAGGTGATCTGGCAGACTTGTGGCCTGAGCCGCGTGAAAGGTGGATACAATGTACCTACAAAAACAACTAAGTATTATTATTTATCTATTTTGTTGCATGCCAATATGGCGCAGGCCCTGTAGAGGTCCACTAGCCCTTTTAAAAGGTCTCATTAGGAGATGATACTTTGGTAATTTTCATCAAATGACACAACCTAGCGGATGGTGTCCCCTATTTATTTGGTTCTCTTCTAGATACCTCAAGCTTAGTTTCTCAAAAGTTGGGGTTAAAGCCTACCACAATGCATAAATGAGTCCCATTTTGATGTTAATTATGGTCATTCAAAAGCCATAATTGTGGATTTGGACCTACAACACACTTTAATCAAGACACAATCTTCTTTTACTTTTTCCTTTTATTATTAGCTTTAGGTCAAAATTCTTCAGCTAAGTGGCTCCATTCTCTACAGAGAAGAACCTTCTTTTTTCCCCTTTTTCTGTGGCATATCGTGTAGTGCCATCTATTAACTATGCACTTTTTTTTTCCCCTTCTCTTGATTGGTATGTGATAATTTATAAATATTGTGAAAATCTGTACATTCTGTCAAAAAACACACAGGTGTATAAGCATATAATGAAATTCAGCAATCATAAAAACCACTCATCTACTGTTGGGGAATCAAATTCAGGACCCAACAATGGAGATGGTAATACTCAACCGGATGTTGCTAAACCACAGCTCAAATTTAACTATTAGGCTGTGACAGATAATCCTTATGAATTGTTAGGTAATTAAGGATAAATGTATATGTAATTTTTTTTAAAATGTTTTAATTTTTTACAATTAGGAGAAGAACAAGGGAAGATGAAGCTGCATCGCTTAGCAATCAAAGTTGAATTCAAACATCACATTTGGTAAATGCATGAAATTTGGGGATATTGATTTGGAATTGTTTGCTTTGATTTAATTAGGTCCTACGTACAATGGTTGACAATGAGACTGGTTCTTTTGTTGCATCACTAGTGTGTTTGAAGTTTTGTCCTGATTAATCTCTATGTACAATGGTTGAGAATGGGACTGGTTCTTTTGTTGGATCACTAGTGTGTTTGAAGTCTTGTCCTGATTAATCTCTATGTACATGTCTTTCTGTCTCAAGTAATTATCTGGTTCAAGTTTTGTGGTGGCTTCTACAGGAGTAGGAAATGAAATTTCTATTTGTTGATCGAACTTTTGAGGTTTCAATCCATGATTGTTAAAGCCACAACAGAAAGGTAGCATTTAGGATTAAAGACATGTTTGGAATAGATAGATTATTTTCAACCTACAACCGTATGCTAGAATACAATATCCTGAAGTCGATGGCCATTCATAAACTCAGTATTTACTTGGGCTCTTTGACATGCTTTAGTAATCAGACATTGGGTCCCTTGTCTGAAAATCAATCAAGCAATAACATAAACCATATAATAATAACATATGATTATGCATAACTGTGATTCAATGGACAATCCAACTACCTTTAATTTACTTCATGAGAGATATTGGAGTTATGGAGACAACAATGATTGTTTTTTTGTTATAATAAACCTTTTTCTTTGGTCCATGCACACTGAAACAGAGGAGTCAGTGCCAGGCCAATCATAGAAAATATGGGAATGGATAGTGGTATTTTGACTCTAGAGAATGTAAGTATCTTCTGTGCGTGTATATATTTATGCTATTGTATAAAAAAAAATAAATTATACAACCTTTCTTGAAATTGTGGATAGCAATAAGGCGAGTTTGTTTCTTTTTTAATAATGCTTTCATTAAGGGGGTCTATTTCGCACAAAATTATACGAAAAATAGGTATGAATCTAAAATGTTGGCTTGAATATATCGGCTTTGTTTGGTTTGTTTTTGATAAATAAATTTTAAAAAATTTTGTTTGGTTTTAGTAGTTTGGAAAAAAAATTTCAAAATCATTTTCTATTTCTACGCATCAATCAATCACTTTTTCTCTTTCCTCTCTTTTTCAATTACTTTTTTTCTCACACACATTTACTCAACTACAACAAATATCAAATTATTCTAAATTTCTACACTCCAAAACTATTTTTAAAATATACAACCAAACAAATCAAAAAAAATTCTAAACTCTTTTTTTTTAAAATTTATCTCTCAAAATCAAATCAAACCAAACACACCTATAGTGTTCCGTCCTTGCCCGTATCATATCGAGGGTAGGACAAATTGGGGCCGGCAGGGACAGAGACAGGACGAGTTAATTTTTTATCTTTAAAAAATGAGAATGCTAATAAAAATTAAAATTAATATATTTTATAATAGATAATGATTTAGTATTAATGAGAATTAAAAGATATAAGATAAGAAATAAATGAGTGAAAAAATTATTTTAATCTTATTAAAATTGAAAATTTTAAACTACATGCATTATATATAATATATATATATATATATATATATGTTTAATTATATTTAATCGGGGGAAAGGGTGGGAGAGCAAAATCCATTTCCACTTCACTTCTACATTGAGAGGTTTAAAAAATCTACATGGGAATTAAAGGGGGATGTGGGGACAGAGAGGAGTCGGAGAAAATTGTTGGCCTTATTTGATTTGCTTTTGAGGGAGTAATTTTAGAGAAATTTTTTTAAATTTTTGTTTGGTTTAGTAATTTTGAAAAAAAAAAAATTTTAAAATCACTTTATCTTTCTTATACATCAATTAATCACTTTTTCTCTCTTCTTCTCAATCAATTACTCACTTTTTCTCTCTCTCCTCTCTTCTTCTCAATCACTTTTTCTCTCATGTATATCAATTCAACTATAACAAAATATCAAATCATTCCAAATTCTCATACTCCAAAATAATTTATAGAATATACAATCAAACAAATTAAAAAAATTTCTAAACTCTCTCTTCAATTTTTTTTAAAAAAAATTTGTCTCTTAAAACTAAACCATACACACCCGTCACATCCTACTTGAAGTAGAGAAATATTAGTAGACTTGAAGTGAGAAATATTAGTAGAAGTAGAACAATAGTTGTCAAGGTATCTTTCATCAAATATTGTGATTACGCCATAGTTGTAGATAGTTTGTTTGTTTTTTTTTTTTAATTTTTTTTTTTTTTTGAGAACACTTTCGTGGGGTCAAAGATCAGGTGTGTATCTAATTTTTTTTTTCTTCCCAAACACACTTTAATGTGTATTATTTGAACGTTATTTTATCTCGTTAAATGTAGTTCTTCCAACCAAAAATAAAAATTAAAAAATGATTTATTAGCTTTCTTAAAATGTGAAAGCATTAAAATGAGTTGTGAAAACAATTATTTTCGTTGTGCAATAATGACTCCATTAACTTGAGTAAATGATAAATTTTGAAGAAAAATATCAGTAGGGAATATTTCATATTGAAGGGAGCTAACAAGTATTCGTAGGGCGTAAGAAAAAGACAAAAAAAAAAAAAAAAAAAAAAATTTTATTAAATTTATTACACTTTTATTGTAATCAATAAATTTTTTATACACATTAAAATAATACTTAAGGGATACTTGATAACATTTTCCTTTATCAAATATTATGGAGATTATGCCATAATTGTGAATTGTTAAATAATGTAATGAGTTGCTAAAACTACTATTTCTATTGTGGCAATAATGATTTCAAGTAAATTTATTATTAACTTATGATTTTTTTAAGATTTGTCTTTTAAAAAATTTAAAAAGATCATATATTTGACATAAAAATGAGTATAATAAATAATTTATAATTTTTTAAAAATCTTTTAAGATGTGTCTTGACAAGGTCCAATTTTGAATCATAATACGTAAATGCTAATGACCGTTTAATGGTAGAAGAACACAAAATATTTCCACTCTAAGGATTAAGAAATTTATTTTTATTTTTTACATTCTACATTAAAATAAATGTAATAAAGAAAGTATAATTTTTTATAACACACAAGTTAATGAGAACCTTTCAATAATTCTTTTAACCTTTTAAGCCTTTACAATAATACTACTATAGATTTTTTTTTACCAAACCCAAATTATTACTAAACTTATTTTCCAAATATAAATTGTTTTGAATTTATTTCTACAATTCATTATTTACTTTTTAAAGTCATATTTTAAATGGGAAGTACTAAAAAATTTTAAATAGTGATCTTATAAATTGTTTAATCCTTCATTTTTTTCTTCTTCTTATGGACCTAAGGTCCTATTTTAATGTGAATTATATAAAGGGACAAGTATAAGCGTGCGTGTTACGTGCTAAAAGATAAATATGTTTTTTAATTTATTTTAATAATGTTGAAATTGCTAAACGTTACATTTAAAATTTTTTTCTTAGTGTACTTTTTTCAAACATAACACTGCAATGTAACACTGTAACATAATACATTAAAAAACTCCTTAATGTACTTTTCTCAAACGTAACAACGTAACCTCAAAAACAAAAACTCCACGTATTTTTTCTAAATGTAACACTCCAATATAACATATTAAAAAACTCATTAGTGTATTTTTTTCAAATGTAACAAAACAACAGTCCAAAAAAATTTATTAGTATATTTTTTTCAAATGTAACACTCCAATCAATGTAACACATAAAAACTACTTAGTATTTTTTTTTTTTCAAACATAGTGCTCTAATTTAATACTCAAATATAACACCAAAAAATCTAAATAGAAATGTAGATTTTCACGCTTGACAACCAACACTTTAGCCACCAATCCTCTCAAAAAAATCTTCCACACCTCACCATTCCATTCCCATCCCAAAAAAATGAATTAGAAAATTGAAAATATGAATTACAAAAGGACATTTATGTAAACTCAAATGACACCAAATCAAATAAATACAAAGTTTTAAAACAAAAAAAAATACTAATTAGTTCACAAAAAAATTTTTAGAATTAAATGAATCTACATTCTTCATATGAAATTTGTGAATAAAATTTTCTATTTTAAAACCCAACTTCATGCTCAATTTTAGTGAAATTGATCTTTTTTTTTTTTTCCGTCTAATATTTATAAATTAAAGTCTTATTTTCAAACGCAACATTAAATCTTAAAAATCGTGTATGAAAATATGATTTCATAAAATAACATGTAGTATTTAACAAATAAATTTAAAATAACTCAGTGACATGAATTTGGTCAAAAACTCGTCTTGGATTAATCCACTGTTTTTAAAATTTAATTGATTGCTCCTTTTTCCTTTTTCTTTAAAAAATTAGGCAGCTAAACACTTTTGATTTATTAATTAAGCTCGATTTATCTAAAAAAAAGGCATACTTACCAATTGCCAACAACTTCCGAATTAGAACCAAGATTCCCTCCTCCATCTTTTTCCTTAACTCCTTCTTTGTTAGGTCATTAAGCTCATTTTTGGATTTAATTTTAATGATTCGAACTGTGTATATTTTTAATTTCGTTGAGTGTATTATACCAGTAAAATATTAAGTTGATCAGATATCAAAAAATATGTATTCGAAAAATTATTTATTAAATTAAAAAAAAAATAATTTATAATTCAATGATCCGAACACATAATTTTTGATATTTAATTAACTTAATTTTTTATAAATATAATACACTCAATAAATTTTGAGATATAAACAATTTCGATCATTAAAATTGAAGTTAAAAATAGACGACTTAGCAATGAGAGGGTTAAAAAAGAGAAATGAAGGAAAGGAAGCATGATGACAACGTGGCAAAACTTGATTCCGACATTGCAAGTAGCAAAGGGACTATTTTTGGTAATTTGAAAGTTCAAAAACAAAGTCCAGCAGGGACTTCGTTGCCCTCTCTCTCTCTCTCTCTCTCGTTCGATTCAAACAGAATCCGACTACAGATCTTCAAAAACAAAGTCCAGCAGGGACTTCTTGCTTCTTTCGATTTCTCTTTCTACTTTCTCTCACTATATCTTCATTTTCTTTCTCGGATAGTATTTTTCGTCTCTCTCTCTCTCTCTCTCTGAGTAGATTTTGAAGATCTGTAGTCGGATTCTGTTTGAATTTAGCTGAAAATCTAGGGCATTTGCTTCCGTGATACTTGTTGAGTTCCTCGTCACTCTAGTTCGAGGCATTCTCCCGGCTTTCTTGGTCTAAGATTTTCTAGGAAAATTCCTTTTTTCTTTTTTGTCTTTGTCTTTTTGTCGTGAAAATGGAGAGAGTCCAACATAAGAAGTCGAACAACGAAGGTCAGTCTCTCTCTCACTTACTTACACACACACACACACACACTCACTCACTCACTCGTAAATGTATGTATGGATGGTTGCCGAGAAAAGCAGAGAATGGAGAGAATCTCTCTGTGTTCTTTTTTTTTTCTTCTTCCGAATGCGTTGCTGCTTGGTTGCAGAGAAACTGGTGGGAAAGCAAAGAAAATGAGATTTTCGAGTATTTTCTTTCGTTATTTTTACTTGTTATAACAAAAGTAGAATGTTTCATCCCAAATTAGGAAAAATTGATTTTGCTCATTTTAGTGCTTAAAAATCTCAATTTTTAAATAATTGAGGCTCATAATGTTGAAAAAAAAGTGTTTTCTCTGCCTTCATTTTCTCAGCAACCAAACGGAGCCTTTGTGTCTGTTTCTGCACTGGTTTGTCTCTTTGCTGTTTGTTTAGCATGGAACTCATGAGTTAGGTTGAGTTTTTGGCTTTGCTTGTGCTTTTGTTAAAGTAATCTTTGTTTGCAAGTGGAATCAGTTGCGCCTTTTCTGTAATGGTATTGATATGATTTTGTTTTTTCTTTATCAATTTCGAGGGTTATCATGAGAAATAATTGCGTCGTCTAGTGCTCCAAAAGTTCTCATGTGCAGTTCATTTGATACTTCTGTGGGGTTTGATTTAAAAATTTTGCAAATATCAATTTTTTTCTTTTCTTTAATTTCTTCATGCGATTTGGTATCAATGCATATCCCTATTTTTCTTCGGAAAATCAGATTTTATCTTTATTTATTTATTTTGTTTTATTTTAAATTTTGATCTTTTTGAGTTTTTGGAGTCTGCCTACACAATATTTTAAAATAAATTTAATATTTTAGATGAGATTCATAATTTTGTTCTTCCTATTGCATGTTGTTTCAATTCATTGTTCTATTTGGTTTTGGTGATTTGAAATCCAGCATACACAATTTTCTTACATCTCTATGCATAGTAATATGTATATGTCATCTTGGAATGATCATCCAGGAAACAGGCTGATTCAAAGACAAAGAAGTCTACCAAAATTGGCATCAGATTATAGTTCTTACAGCGGTGGCACCACCGAGGAAGATTTGGTACGTTGATTTCATGTTTTGTATCTATATTTGAGCTTTATGATATGTAAGTTATTAATTTTTCACATTGACTTTTGAATAGTCATTGTGAAAGTAAAGCAATGCTGCTTTTGTGATGTGTCAAATAGTCAATAGTGGTTCTTTTTCATCTGGTTATACTAAATTTATGAATTTAAATTTCATTTTGCATATGCAGTTCTCATGTGAGTTGTGGACTAGCTCTTCTAGACGAGTGATAGGCACCCCAATAAAGAAGTTATTAGCAGAAGAAATGTCAAAAGAAACGGAGTCCTACGTTGATTTCATGTTTTGTATCTATATTTGAGCTTTATGATATGTAAGTTATTAATTTTTCACATTGACTTTTGAATAGTCATTGTGAAAGTAAAGCAATGCTGCTTTTGTGATGTGTCAAATACTCAATAGTGGTTCTTTTTCTTCTGGTTATACTAAATTTATGAATTTAAATTTCATTTTGCATATGCAGTTCTCATGTGAGTTGTGGACTAGCTCTTCTAGACGAGTGACAGGCACCCCAATAAAGAAGTTATTAGCAGAAGAAATGTCAAAAGAAACGGTGTCCAAGAGACGGCCACCGAGTGTTATTGCCAGATTGATGGGTCTTGATGGGCTGCCACCTCAGCAGCCTCTTCATAGACAACATAAGGGGTTCTCAGAAACTTATCGACAATGGACTGCATCACTATCATCCCAAAGGGATGGAAAACCATATGAACGCCAATCAAATAGGAAAGACTCAATGGCGCAGCAAGAATGTAAGGATGTGTATGAAGTTTTGGAAACATCAAACGTTGAGAGGAGTAGTTACCCAGCAAAAAGGACTATAAACTCAAAGCTGTCTGAGGCAGAGATGGCGTTTATTCAACAGAAGTTCATGGCTGCAAAACATCTTTCTACAAATGACAAGCTTCATAATTCAAAAGAATTTTGTGATATGCTTGACATGCTGGATGCCAACAAAGACCTATTGATGAAGTTTCTTCAGCAGCCAGATTCCTTGTTTACAAAGCATCTCGTTGATCTGCAAGGTGTTGCTCCTAGATCAAAACGCAGTCACATGGCAGATATGGACCCATCAAAATTGGATAAGTATGAAAGCAGTACCATTGGTTGGAAGTCAGAGAAAGGGATTTTACAATGCTCTCATCGGAAACATTATGATGGTCTTTTTACCCACTTCTACAATCATCGTGGTGCTCAAAAACCTCTTAAATCACCAAACATTCAATTAGAAGGGAAGCATGAGAGTGAGACAAACATCCACCCAACACGGATTGTTGTTTTGAAGCCAAATCCTGAGAAGATGCAGAATGCTACTAAATCTGTTTTATCAACCAGTTCTTTTCATGGTAATCAGTCAGATTGTAGGAAGCACTGGGAATATCGGACCATTGATACTGGTGAGGGAGGACATTGGGTTAAGAAAAACTCATCTAATGATGATGCAGGTTTTTTGAGGCCCAAGTCTAGAGAGCCCAAAGAAAAAGCTAAGGAGATTACTACGAAAATGAGAGAGAGTTTACGAGGTGAGCCGATGGATTTGCCCTCCATATTTAAGGGATATGCTGGGGATGAGAGCTCATATAATGTGTCTGCAAGTGATTCTGGAAGTGAATCAGAACTGACAATATCGACTCTTAGAAAGTCCTTTCGCTGGAGTAACCGACCTAGACCTTCATCATGGCATTCAACTGAGTCATCTGTAAGTAGGGAGGCCAAGAAGAGACTCTCAGAGAGGTGGAAGATGTCCCAAAGGTATCAGAATTTTGGAGTAGTTGGTAAGGCCAGCACTCTGGGTCAAATGCTTTCTATTCATGATACAGAAATAAGGCCAGAGAATTTTTATCCAATGATTGGTTTGGATGGATCCAGTGACAGATTTGTTAGCAATGATGAAACTGCTGAGTGGGATAGTCCTTTGGGTATTAGTAGTAGGGATGGTTGGAAGGATAGCATCAGAATTTCATCCAGATCGAGATCTATTGCTGCTTCATATGTTGGCTTTGGTGGCCCTAAAACAAACATGCAACGTGAAACTCTTGACCAGGATAGTTATTTGATGGCTGGAGAAGCCATGAATCGGGGTAAAAATAAGGCAATCAGGAGAAATTCCAATAAGAACGAAGACTCTTCATCCAGAAAAATAAAATCCAACAATAAGAAATCTCAATCCTCTCACCTCACCTATAGTGATAGTACTGACTCCTTTGAGGAAGAGCAATTTAACCTATCTCCGGTGGAGATCAACCTTGGAAAGAAAGATCCTGCAGAACAGAAGTCTTTAGTTTCTCAGATGTGGACCCATAACATCAACTGTAAAAGTTCAATTAATGATGCTGAGGCAGATGGTGGACATGCGGATATGTATTTTGAATCTCTTGATGAGGAGTTGCCCTCAAAACCATCATCTTGTTTGTTTGGAAATCCTACTTCTTCTATCCCTGGTCCAGAGGATTCAAAAGCACAGGTTTGATTTACTTGACTAATAATCTTTCAATGCTTGTTGACACAACATAGATGCAGTATTATAATATCTGAGGTGGTCTTTTCCCCTTTCTATACCCATAATAGTTCAATTTGCTTAACTTTTTATTTTTTATTTTTTATTATCATTTGTAATATGGTTGTATTTGATGAACTTGTGCATTGCTTGTTGTCCTTAATGTTTTCTTGTTGGATTTTTTTAATGTGTACAGAGCATCAATATCTCATGATAAATAATTACATTTTGTTATAGGTGCATTTTATTGTATCTTCTTATATGGTTAGATACATGATATGTATAATTTATGCACTATGTTGATTATTTATTTATTTTTATTTTTTAGAATGGTCAACTTTTCCCTTAAAAAGTTTATATGTTATTGCTTCAAACTTCAAATATACATTAAGATTAAAGAGACTGAATAGAAATTTTCTATTGCTCTTTGAGAATGGCAATAGGGTACGCTTTGGGTTGATCATCCCTCCCTCAATCTTATCATGGAATAGAGGTGACGCAGCACGTTCAGGTTTATAGCAGTTTGAATCTAGTCATAGGTTTAGGTTTAATGAAAGAATGCTAAGGGATGTGTGGGGTTTAGTTGTGAAAGGTTTGGGCTCAAGGGGAAAGGAATTTTGGTGGCATAATAAAAGCTGTTCAAAGGCTGTAAACAGTAATCCATGAACATTAAACAGAAAGAAGGAAAAAGTGGAAGAAAACTAGGAATCAACCCTAGAATCCCTTAGGTATCACACCTAGGGCTAAAGTTGCAATTCACAAACCTAAAAGAGGATTCAAAACTCTAGAAAATTATGTATAATTTGATCATTGAATTAGAAGCAATTCATTGCATAATCTAGAATTAGAGGAGACTTCTTTAACCAAGTAGAACTAGGATTTACCAAAAAAGAAAGAAAACTAATAAAAAAATTGACTTCCAAAACTTATCTAATACTAAATAAAACTGTTAAACAAATTAAAACAATACCAAGACTCGTGGCTCAGAAAAACAACCCATTCTTGAGACCAATTCCAAAAATTCTGTAAATCAATTAAGTGAATAAATTCAATCGAGCTGTATCCCGGCCGTATCCCACACCCGTACCCGTGTCGTGTCGTGTCGACATGGGTACCTCCCAAAAAACGAAGAGTCCGTGTAACGTAGTTCGCAACTACCAACTTGGTTACTTGGCAAAAATATTTCCATAGTCAACCTTAGATATTGGTAAATGTTTATTGATCGAACTCATAGAAATAAAACTCTTGTTATGGATGACCCAAATGATGGGTATGACATGAGCTTGGTGGATGGTGGAAATAGGTGGCTATAAGTTGGAGGTCTCTCTTGTACATCGCCATGCTAGTTGGTACCTCATGAATCTAATGTAATAATCCTGTGAAAAGAGATTTGTGTGATGGGAGAAACTAATCAATCAATTGAAAGTTATTAAGCACACAAACATATTCCCTTACAAAATGTACGTCTGTTTGACACATTTTCGACACAGACGTGGCAAATGCCTAGACATGTATCATATGTGTCTGTTTGTGTCTTATTTATTTATTTTAATTTTTTTTTTGTAGCCAAACTTCAATGAATACTTAGTAAACGTGCATTTCCTTGTATCAAACTCCTCATAGACATGATGGGGATTTAAGAAGATTTAAGCGGAGCATCAATGTATAAGAAAGTATGTTTGTGGTTTTAGGAGGGAGGAAGAAAAATATTGTTGTGTTATTATACAAGTAAATTTCATGGTTGGCAAACCTTTTTAAACTTGTTCCATTGGATTTGAATATGGTTGTTGTCTTTTCTCTACCTACTTTCTAATTTAAACTATAACCTCCACCACAAAATCCACCCCTTTATAAATGAAGAGGGCGGGAAAAGTTTTTTTTTTTTTGGGGGGGAGGGGGTTATTGTCATCCATATAAAAGAGCTCATTTGGTGTTGAATTTCCAAATTGGTGAATGCCTTATGATTTCTTGCAGCCTTATCAATTGGAGTTTTTGATGAGGCCAAAATTAAATATAATCCATAATATGTAGTGTGGAGATGATTGAATCGTCTGCATTGTGTCCAAATCGTGTGGACACCCTTCAAATAGCCCCTTGGCTTGCTTGTTGACTTATAAAGATCTGTTGTAGCAAAGGTGACTCTGATGGACTCTCACTAAACAATATTGATGGTGTGAGTTTTCTCTTTGTGAATAAATGTTGGTTTAAGAGTGTTGCATTGATTTGGTTATCAAGCTTCTAATTTGTCGGCCCACAAATGATTTTGCCTAGTTGAGTGGGTTGCTTAAAGAACTTGGTTCAAGATGATAGTCCTTAATAGTGATCTTATTTCTCCATGTCAAAGTCACGAGACTATGAAGGTTGTCTATTAGCCTACGAGATCCACTATTTACGTTGGAAGTGCAATTTTTAGTTAAAAAAAGGAAAACAAACTTCTTGTGGTTCCATTTGAAATGTTGTGATTCTTACATATGGGCCCATTTACTTGGATTGGATAAATTTGATGATAATTTAACAATCCTTTATAAGACCGAGTGCATCATCTTAGTTTGAGGCTTGAAAGTACGAATACTTGAAATAGGTTGTACATGTCGGATATGCATGGATATGTATCCTCAATTTAATTAACCTCAATTAGCATGTGCATGAAGGACTCAGTTCTAGTTGTTACTTAGAAAAATGCATCCATGAGTGAGAAATATGAAGGGGGAGACAGACAACCCAAGTTACGTGAAACATTTGTTTTTGTCTGGAAGATGAAAATTGAAGTCAATTCATTTTTTCTAAGGAGCATAGGCATTTCTAAGAAGGTAGCGTGTCACCGACATGACACAACAGTCGTCGGACACTTCCTAACACTTAGATACACATGAAACACATTACAAGTTTAAATAAAATAATTTGGAATCCAATGATAAAATAAAACAATATAAATTTATATCTAATTTTCTACTTTTGACTTCAAACATTATTACATTTTACTTAAATATTCTTATATGTGATATATAATAATTATGTGTCCTTATATATGACATATAATAAATATATAAAATTATATATTTTGCACGTGGCCCCCACATGTCGTGTATATTTTTTGAAAATTTTGTGTTAGCCTGTCAATATCGTGTCACATGTCTGTATCCATGCTTCTTAGCCTTTGCTGCTATCATGAGTGCTTTTCAAGTTGCCTTTTTATGTTGCCATGTGATGGATGTTTTGATATTGTTGGAATTTTTTTTAAAAAAAATTTATCTCTTAAAACTAAACCATACACACCCGTCACATCCTACTTGAAGTAGAGAAATATTAGTAGACTTGAAGTGAGAAATATTAGTAGAAGTAGAACAATAGTTGTCAAGGTATCTTTCATCAAATATTGAGATTACGCCATAGTTGTAAAAAAAATTTGGACCAATCAGGAGAGACCCCTAGTACCCCCACTGGGGGTCTCATGCATTTTCCTATTTTCAGCTACAAGAAAATTCATGCTATTTTATTGATTTAAAAAAAATATTAATATTAAATAATAATTCAAAATTATTGTTATTTTAATGAGAAAATTACAAATACACCATTTGAAGTTTGCTTAAAATACTAATTGCTTGTGGTAGTTTTGGAAATTATGCCCCACTCTTTAAAATTTCTAATCGAATAACAAATAAATTTTGGGTAGAGCGTGCGAGTGTGACCTCAAAGAGTTGATGACACTTAGTAAGAGCTAAACCTGAGACTTGGCGGGAGTGCACCCCCAGGCCCCAATCTGCTCCCACTAGCCCCAACCCCTTGGGGTTGTAATTTGCCCTATTTTAATTCTATAATAATGAAAATATATTTTATTATTGATATATCTTTGTTGTACCTATATCCCAATTTCTTAGATTTTGACGAATTATGATACTTGTGTCCATATCCATGCTTCCTAGGTTTGAGGATAAAACAATCGTTTGTCAAATGAATGACAAGCTGAAACATTTTCTCCTCATAATAAATGGAATTTGTTTGTTTTTGCGGTCAACATTTTAGAAATTGAATTTGTGCTCTCAACATTTTAGAATTGTGTTGTGCTTCCCACTGTTTTTGCAGTCAACATTGCTCCCGACTGCACAACAGTCGGTTAGGAGCTGAAACATTTTAGATTTGTGCTCCCAACACTAGTTACATGCGAAGCAAGAAATCATAGTTGTGCTCCCGATTGTTTCTCGCTTCTCTTGCTCATTTGCCTTTGTGATTGGTCCCATCCACTCCAATTCAAACTTTAGTGCTTTCTGTTGGAATGTGTCCCATGTCACCTGGAGTTGGCCTATTTGTGCTGGTTGTAAGGCTCTAGTTTCTCTCTTAAACACCTGTGTTTTAAGGAGAAGTGTGGGCTGAGCTTTTCAATTTGGTATCAGGGCTTGGTTGGGCCTGTGATTGGTGTATCGTCTGTTCAGCTGCTGTATGTTGTGGTCCAAGAGGGTGTGATTGGTGTATCGTTTGTTCAGCTGCTGTATGTTGTGGTCCAGGAGGGTGTGTTGGAATGTGTTCCACATCGCCTGGAGCTGCCTTATCTGTGCTAGTTATAAGGCTCCAGTTTCTCTCTCTTTAGCACCTGGGTTTTAAAGAGAAGTGTGGGTTGGGTTTTTCAATTCTTTTTTTTTGTGTAGAATTGGAGAGTTCTCTTTCTTGCAACAATTAAAGCTCTCACTTGAAGGTATTGTAGTCATTTTGTTTATCGCAATACTGCATGCCTATTTTTAGGCAATTTTTTATGTGATGATGTAAGATGCAATTAGACATTAGTAGACTTCGTTATATCTTGAGGCTATGTGCTTGGAATCAATTTTCACAACAATCTAATAAGATTGGTGGGAGATTTTTATCATAAGGCAACAAAACAATGTAGTCCGTCATGACGTCCTGATTGAAATTGCTTTCTATCTCTCTCTCCCCTCCTCTGTCTTTTTTTTTAAATGTACATATTTTTTTAT